GCTCCGCCATTGGCTGGTTCCCCTCATAGGGGGTGCCCGTTGAATAGGGTTTGGCTTTCGCTGCAAACCTCTCCTATTGACTCTATTTTTTCCTTTGCGGGCAGGTTGGACCCTGCAAGCTATTATGGGCTGATTATAAGATTTGGAGAAGCAAAAATAATGGATAGGAGTTTTTTTCGTCTCGCCTCAAGAAGACTTTGTACTGTCTCAGTTCGTTAATTGCTGTGTTTCTTAGTTTCTTGGTATGTTTGCTTCGCTTTTTTTTTTATAATTCTTTTATATACTGAAATTTTTTAACTATACGATCACATATTAAGTAAAGTTCATAAAATATGAATAATTGCTCATGTACTTTTGAAGACTGTTCATACCATTCAAAAAAGTTTGTATCATTTAGAAAATGTTCACACATTTAAGTATACGTTCATGATATTTTCTCAAAATGGACATGAAAATATAAAAAGATTGTTCCCGTAACATTTAAAATGTTAGTGTGACTCAAAAATTGTTCATAACATTTAAAAATGTTCACACATTAAAAAATCATGAAATTTTCAAAACATGGTCAACTTTTGTCTAAAAATGTTCATTTGTGCCTAAAAAAGTTTGACATGTATTCGCATAAATTTTTGTATTGTATTTTATAAAATATTCAGCGTGTATCTACTATCTAGAAAAATTACCAACTTATGTACAAGGAAAAAAATGCTCATTGTTTATTTTGAAAAAGTCGACATGTATTTTAAAATAAAATAAAAGAAACGAATAGAAAAAGGAAATAAAAACAAAAAGAGATCGTCAGAAAATTGTTGTAGAAAAACACAGGAAAAAGAATAAAAATCCATCAAACTTTCGCAAAACTGGATGGAAGGTTCATGTATCACTCATGCACAACTTCTATTGGGTCAGCCCACTCGAACGAACTCTACAAGTCAGCGGTAAGCGAGATATAGGATTTGCCAGTGCACAACTCACCACTAGTAAACCATTTTCTCGTAAAAAAACGGCCTTCTCTACTTCGGCCGAGCCAAGGAACCAGCCTGGTTGGCTGGGCTTGTTCAAATCCATATCGACTCATTTGTTTCATACACTTCGAAAAAATAAATTTGGTTCGGAAACATAGTATAAAAGTATCACGGTGCAAATGCAAAGGAAAACAAAAGGCCTTGTGAACAATTTCTCACGGACCGTTGTCGCATCTAAGCTAACAACACAAAATGAACACAACATAGGATAGTATGAATTACATGGGATGGGGCTATGTCTCAGTCGACTGAGACAAGTAACATAGTTTATAAAATGAAAAAAGAAAAAACTGAAAAGAAAAACTTGAATCTTCATACAAGATCAAAGGAATATAGCCTAGACATAACGAACTCTCAGTCGACGGAGACATAGCAATCTCGAATTACATGTGTGGAATTCAGCACCCTCAAATCATCTCCCAAGATCAAACTCCACGCAAGTAAGTTTCTTGATCATCCCAAATATCATTTTCATCAGCAATTTTCGAAGCATCAGTTTTTGCCCTAGACATTTCATCATTTCTGCCATCCTCTTCATTTTCTCCAGCCCTACCCGTCTCCAATCGCTGAGTTTGCCCCCTTCCCTTTCCACACCCATCTCCGTGAGCAGCCAAAGCCCCCCTTTGCAACATGTAAGCTCCTTGTTCTAGCGCCATTCGTTCATCTTTAGATTGCAGACATGTATATTCCGCAACTTTCAAACAACCCAACAAATTGCAACTAGCCCAAAGAAAATCAGCAAAGCATGCATGTACAACGACACGTTGCACGATGTCCTTCGTCGAGGACCCCCGCGTCGGCTTGATTGAGCTAAGGCTCCGCGACTTTCGTGAAGCCTAAGATGGAGACCACAGATCGGCTGTGTCCCGTGTCGAACGACCATCTTAGAGCATCTCCAATAGCAGCCCTATTATAGTCTAACCATTTTTAGGGCTTTTGGACCCAAAAATAGCATCGAACAATTGCCCTAATTGCAAAAGTTTGCAAAAAAAATAAATAAAACCCTAATCAGCACAAAAAAATGGCACGGTTCCGCCGACCATAAACAATAACTCTCCCGTGTCGTCGTTGCCCTCACTGAATTGGACGAATCTCAGCCGCACCACCCCACCACCCGGATCCGGCCCCTCTCCCCGGATTGGCCGCGTAGCCACCGGTGCCGCATCTGCTGTCGCGCACACCACCGATTTCTATCCGCCATCGCGCCGCACCATTGGATGGAGCCGAAACATGTCAAGGACCAGACGACTACCGCGACGTTCAGTCGCGGCCATCCGATCGCTTTGGTGTTGAATTTCAGTGCGACGACCGACCGTACTATCAAGGCGCGCCTTCAAGATGTCAGTCATAGCCACGCGCGCCTACAACATCGCCATTTGGAGGCTCGGCCGGCCGCGGCACTAGGTGAACTTCCCGAAGTAGTTTGCATATCCATTTTAGAAAAAGGAGTTTCGATGTTTTTGGTGCCCTATTTTAGCCTTTAGGGTAGCTATTGGAGACACTCATTTTGCCGTGCCCTACAAAGCACCTTTCTATGCCCTAAATTTACACCAAGTGCTTTTTGCCGTCCTAAAATAGAGCTGTTGTTGGAGATGCTTCGAGTGACTCGTCCGGCTTCCATTCTTGTATAGGCTTCTCCACGGCGGACTCGTCCGGGGAGTGACCTCTCGACCCCCTATTGAGTCCGTGAGATTTCTCAAAATTTCCCCCTCTTTTTTCTTGATCCTGTTTCACAGATGCACCACAAGCCCACACCCACGTATGCTGCCAGAAGACGAAACCACGTAGTACGAACCCACAAACAAGCCGGCCAACCCACTAGTAGATTCCAGGTTTTCACCGTTTCAAGCCAAACATCAAGCTCACTCTCTCGCTGAACATACTGAAATCCAGTCGTCACAGCCATTAATTGATCAATGGTTAGCAGAGTGAAATTAACCCAAAAGGAAAGAAAGAAAGAAGAAGAAGATTTGTTTTTTCACAGGTATTTCAGGCTCAGTTCCTCCGGGTGCTCCATGCCCCAGTCGTGCCTCCCAAGCGATATCTCCAGGTTGGGCGCGAAGGTGTCGTCCGCGAGCAGCTCGAAGCTTGCAAGAGATGGAGACGAGCTCGCAGGGCTTGAACAGTAGTTCCCAGAGATCGCCCCCTCCACGCCCCCATGTACCCCCATCGGCAGGCGACCGGCTGGCTCCTCTTTAGCTTCCTATTCACCATAAAACAATGCAAATGTCATCAAATATACTTACATGCATGAAGCTATCTGATTTACTGATATGTATATAAGCCAAGACGTTCGCATTCTTTAAAAAAACAACTTGTGTTTTATTCGAGGAGAATGATAATTTTTTAAGAAAAGGAAAGAGAATGATAATTTTACCCCGAAGAAAAGAAGATGAGTGGTAATTTCCGTAGAGGAACAGTAGATCAAACACAGTGCACGTACGTGCAGGTCAGCTTTATGGCCCACATAAATAGCCATTGCTCAGAAGTCCAAAAGAGGATCAACAGAAGCGATCGATGTCACACATATATGTGGCCTGGTGTAATCAATAGGAGTACGTACGTACTCCGTACTGCGCCCTTTTCATTTATGCCTGTGATCTCACACATAGATGCTTGCGTGCGTACGTACCTGGGGAGTATCTTGGAGCGCTGCTGAGTAATCAAGCTTCTGACACCGGTGCAATGGGTCAACAATGGCGACGCCTTTCTCGAGAGCCACTGCTGCGTGGTCAGCTCTCCTGTAGTCAAGAAATTAAGGGCGCCCTTGTCATTGAATGCAGGACGTATGTACGAGTAAATGGAATCAGAAATGCAGGAGATACCAGCACGGCAGGAGCCGCGGGTACAGCCCGCATAAATAACAGGGAACAGAAGGTTAATTAGTTGGCATCTATGTGGACCTACTTATGTGATGGTTTTCCTTTTCAGTTCCAGAAATATTTCAGCAACAACAAAAATCATTAAAATTCATTTTATTTAGTGGTGATTTTAGTTTGCATTTCGGCCAAAGGGCCCAAACATTCACTTGATTTAACCAAAAAAAAATATATATAAATTCATGTGTACTACTGAATTTACTAATATATTTTGACCGAAAGGTAAACATTTTAGCGTCTACTGAAATTACCGAAATACAGTGAACCTCATCAACATCTCAGTGGAAGTGAAAACCATGGGTGCATGCTGAAGTCATTAAATTTTACTTCTCTATAACGAGCAGTAGGTCGTAGTGCGTTTCTTAACCCATCCCTGTAATACATGCAGGTCTAAATCATTGCAGACACGCACGAACACCCTCCCATGTCTCGTTTGTAGCTTTGCCCGACGACTGTTCAATCTGTGATCAACGCACAGCGACGGCGTTGGGGCGTTGCCCGTACACGGGAACACATCCTTGTCCCTACGCCACGCACATACCGAGCTAACAAGACACGGACAAGCTGGAAAACGCAAGCTGACTTCAACGGATCCATGCATGCATGCATGCACCAGCAAACCGTCCAAAAACACACGAGCCCCAGCGCTCTTGTTCGCGAGCGGCACCACCTCCCGTTCCATATCTACGCACGCATGCATGCACTGATCGAGACACACACCCGCAGATCGGTTAATCATGATGGCGTCGTCGACCAGAGAAGCTGTCGATCCATGGAGGAGAGGGGTGGATCATCGTCAGGGCCGGCAGAGCATTATTATTACGAGTGGAGTGGGCGAGGACAAGGGGAAGCGTGCTCCGTGCATGGGCTGCGGGAGAGGACAACGGGAAGGGGCCGATCGGCAGGGGACACGGCGGCTACAGCGAGAACGCTAGTTGTCGCCGCTTCACAACAAACAAAGGAAAGGAAAAGAGTCAGGCCTTCTTTGGATTGGAGGATTTTCACAGGATTTTCATGGGATATCAATCCTCAGGATTGTTTTCTATGAAGCGCATTTGGATCAAAGGATTGGGCCATTAAAATTCCTCAGGATTGGGTCTTCAAGGTGCTGATTCCAAAGGAATTTACACATGAGGTCCGACCTCTGGAAAAAATCCACAGGATTGGCTATGTCATGGCAATCAAATCCTCCATTTTTCCTATTCCTTTGTTTTGCAAATCCTGTGATCCAAAGAAGCCCTCACTGTTGCCGCCGCTCAGTTCATCGCGCGCTCGCCACTGCTGCTCTGGATTTTATCAGGAGGCCGAAGATCTGGGGTGGTACAGGAGGTAGTGGGGGAGTTCAACATGGGCGGCTATTTTCTTCCAAGAATCATCATTTTTGGTTAACTGCGGAAATTGGGTGAGTGCTTCTGGTCTGTGCTCTACTGTGTTGCCTGTGGCAATCAGCTATAGAAACTTGCTGAATTAGGTTGCAGTCAGCTATAGTGTCAATTTCAAGATTGGTCTAAGGTTAGCATAATACAGTACCAAGTTTATGATATAGCAGACGGCCAACCCTGATTAATGCTGTATTTTAGTCTATAGCTCATCAGCTAAATAGTATTTCTCCATTCCATAATGTAGTCAATATAGGGTTTTTTAAAAGTCAAACTTGGCCAAATTTGACCATATTTATAGATAAAATATTTCCTTTTTCTCTTTCAAAAAAATAGGATAATACCCCTCCAGTTCAGAAAATCATGAAGTTTTATACATACTCCCCCTGTCCCCAAATATATGGCACATAAATCCAGTCAAGAAGTCAATCCTTTCTGAGTATGACCAAATATCTAGAACAAAAATATCAACACCTAAAATATTGAATAAATAGATTATGAAAATGTATCTAATGGTGGATATATTGATATTATTTGTCTTAATATTTTTTATATATACTTGGTCAAACTTAGAAAGCATTAACTTTTTGACTGGATTTATATGACATCTATTTGTGGACGGGGGTAGTAGTTAGCACACAAAAAATAGTTCTCGCTATCAATATTTTCCAAAAGGAGATAATTGGATCATGATGTTTGTGCATAAGTTGGGTCAAACTTCTTAAAACTTTGACCAACCATATTTTCCATACTGATTAGATTCGATCAATGGAAATTATATGTACATTTTAATCTTGAAAATTAATTTCACAATAAGTTTATTGTTGGAATATAATATTATACTGTAGTAGAGATTCATTGTCAAATTTACATTTCGGAGACTTTGCATATCAAACTAAAAAAATGCGGCTTTTTACAAGACCGGATGGAATAGCAATTTGTCTTAATATAAGAAAAGTGTAACCACCATATCCTTCTTGTGTCTTAGGTTCACCCAAAACAATATTCTAAGTAGATTCATGCATGATAGCCCATACTAATTAAATATCGCATAGCACAGGCCGTTGTCCTGATGTCATAGCCATAATATAATTTAAATTTCTTGCAAAAAAAACAACAATACAATTTTAAATAACAGGTAGTACAAGATATGCATGTTATATATTGACAGCAGGATATGCCTATTATCTGAACTCAAACTTTTTTGAACTAAACTCAATACATTTTCTTGTGATGTTTAAGATGCATGCAGGGGCCAGCAAGCTTACACTACTCCAACTGGCTAACATGTACTCCCTCCGTAAACAAATATAAGAGCGTTTGGTAGTGATCTAAACACTCTTATATTTCTTTACAGAGGGAGTATGGAAATAAGGTCATTAGTTCCACTCGTATTTTATCAGGTCTATTTTGCTAATACACTTGGTGAACTCTTCTGTCGTTTCTACAAATAATTAACTGATAAAATTAGTGTTTTTATGGCTGCCATAATTTGTGCAGAAAATACTCGGACATGTAGGCAGATTTCAAGCATATGTTGTCCTTTTCCCATTGTAAGTACATAGGTCAGTCATCCAAAAAATATATTTCTAGCCCGCCGATCTAAGAGTAGATAAATTGTGATGCACCGCTGAAATGGCATAACCATTAATTCAGTGAATGGAAACAAAGCTACAAATGGTCAATTTTATAAAATGAGTGTATTCAGCATTTTCTGAAAATGCAAAAAAAAGGAGGAAGACAAATGCATCGATAACTGTTAACTTGACATCCTTAAGCTTAATCATTTACTTGCAAAGAAACAGGTTCTAAGAAACGCCCAGAAGGAGAAAATTAGCATTAGAAACGGAGTGTAAAGCCCACAGATAAAAGCAAACGGAACAGATTAATAAGTGATGTTTGTGGACATCCAGACATACCTCGGGGGGATGGGTGGAGGAGGAGGCGATGGTACCAGCGCCACCAGTGGAGCCGCTGCAGCCGCTGCCGCTCCTGTTGCTGACGCACAGAGGAAATGCGCAGCGGAACTAGTCGTCGCGGCAGGCGGCGCAGATGCCGCGGCTGCCGCAGGCGCGCCGCAGAAGCCAGCCATGTCGACATCACAAGCAGGCAGCGTCGCCACCACTCCACCACCGCCACCACCACCACATCCTCTTCCTCCTCCTGCGTCCACCACCATCATCTGCTGCTCGCCTGCGAAACCATCCATCCATCGACCGATCACCGGTCACTCATTCCACGGCATGAAATTAACAGGACGGCCGCGTCCATCGTGTCTCTACCTGCCTTGTACTTGGCAATGGCGAGGACGAATGCAGGGGAAGATTAAAGCTGCATTTGTGTGTACCTGTGGCGATCTGCGACGATCTGTCTGTGCCCTTCACCGTCCTATACATCTGCAGATTTAACCAATGAGGTGCTAATTTGTTAGTGTGTTTAATTACAAATGCAAAATGAAGATGGTGAAAGCAGTGGACACATAGAGCTAGCTAACTAGCTAGATGCTGTTTGTTTGTCACGTAGCATGCACTTGACCGGGGACAAAGTACATTTGTAGTTTACCAATAGTAAGAACACCCACACATGTACAAGTGGTGAAAGGAGAAACAAAAGGAGGCCATCATGCACACAAGATTCGCCGTGTTTTCTTGCCTTGTTGCATGCATGGCGCGGTAGCTTCTCTCCTATTCCCCATCTTTTTTTAACATTTTTTCGTTCTTGCGCACGCACGTACGTACCTGCAGGTGGCTCTTGACGTGCGCCAGCGTCAGATCCTTGACGTTCATCAGCTCCAGCACCGACTTCGGCGTCGCTCCTGCCGGGGACAAGACAGAGCGCTGGGGTCAACGGCGAGCTCGCCGGAATTGAGCGGACATAGCTTAACACCTTGGTCAACTTAGGCAAAAGGAATGGATATAGTCTAGCTATATCTGTGCGCACGTGAGTGAGGGGGCTGAGCTTACTCTCGTGGCCGCCGAGGAGCTGGACGGCGTGCATGAACCGCGCGTGGAGCGCGGTGGTCCACCGCATCCGCGGCGCCCGGACGCTCCTCTTCGAGCCGCCGGGCTGCGAGGCCCTGCCGGGGGCCGCGCGCTTGAACGCGCATCCCAGCGGCGCCTGCGGGTGGCCGTGGCGGCCGGCGTCGGCGCGCGCCGTCAACGTCCCGAGCCCCAGGCTCAGGCCCGGGGGATCGGCGCCGGAGCTAGGGTTTGCAAAGAACCCTACCTCGCCGCTTCCCTCCGCGTCAGTCCCCGCGGCTGGTGCCATCGACCTCAGTGGCTTCCCCACCGCCGCGGGCGGGCCTGAGGATGCCTTCGACGAGCCGGCCGGCGGGCTTATCCGGAGGGAGAGACTCGGCAGGTTCCTTTGCAACATTTGCAATGTCGGACCAGACTACAGCTCAATGATCAAACGGGATACCGCAGAGCCAGGCACGCCACTACTTTTTAGATCACAAGTGATCGTGTGATAGCTTCTTGGACTATAAGAGGGCCATGGTCATGGATCGAGGGGGAGTTAATTTCCAACAGAGGCGATCGAGGAAGAAGAAGAGGAAAGAAGGGAGAAAAGGA